GTTTAGATCAGATGAAAATGAGAAAAGCAAATGAGACGACAATAAAAGAAGAGGCAGACAGAGAGGAGGCTGTAAAAAAATTAAAAAAAATTAAAAATTCAAAGAGCCAGTCAGTCTAAGAGGCTCCATCTCTGTTGCCAAGAGGGCAAGTAAAAGGTCATGATGGATCACATGAAGTTAAGGGGTTTCAAGGTTTTCACAAAAAAATAAAAATACAAGATGTATTTTAGAGCTGTCGAACTTAACGTGTTAGCTTAAAACATGTTTAAAATATATTTTACCTTTTTTTTATAATAATCTGTTTTGGAACAATATTTATTGTGAAAAACATTTTAATAAATCTAACTTGAATTGAAAACATTTCTTATCAGTTAAAAAAAAAAGTGTATATTTTCCAGATAATATATAATATATATAATCAATGCTGTTATTCATAATTTAGCTTTTTTTTAATATAATTATTTAATTCTGACAACCTGCCATTTCATGAAGGACATAACGAAAAACACAGTCGGACAATTTCCCATCTACACTCCTTCATCTAGTGTGACACCAAAATACAGAGTAGGAAAGAAAGAAAAAAGGAGGGATTTTACAGGGTGTTTTACGCAAATAAAATCACCAGGTGAAGGGTGATAACTAAAGACACCCACACACGTGCATCAGGGTGTAGCTCCCGCTTTTGGTTTGTACTGAGAACGGTTGCCTGAGGCTGTTTCAGTGTCACCAGAACTTTTGTTTCTGTTTGTTTGTGAACGTCAAGTTCTTTTTTTTTTCTGAGCCATTTTAATCCTGAGGTGTGTCTGTGTTCAGTACAACAGTATTGTAGGTTGTGTGCAGTAAATATTGACAGCCATTCATGGATTTTCTCTCTCTTTCTTCTTCCAGTTTCCTATGGGATGATTACACCGTGGAGGTCCGCATTAATGACTACCTAGACATCATCTGCCCTCACTACACTCGTGGCGAGATCCCATCCCAGGAGGCCGAGCGGTACGTGCTCTACATGGTGGAGTTGGAGGACTACGAGAACTGCAAGCCACAGTCCTTCGACCAGCTGCGCTGGGAGTGCTCCAGACCTTTCGCTCCTCACGCTCCAGAGAAGTTCTCTGAGAAGTTCCAGCGCTTCACTCCCTTCACTCTGGGCAAAGAGTTCCGTCAGGAAGAGAGTTACTACTATATTTGTAAGTATCCACCTCTTTGCAGCATTTTGGGTTCGCTTACCACAATTATTAATGATGTAAATGAGTACAATCATTTTAATATATCCTTTAAAAACAAAAACCTTGGTTAATTTATTCAAAATATGTTTAAAAAAACGCTTCACTGCTTATTAAAATAAATGTTTTTTTTGTCAAAGTCAGAAGGATAAATACATATGTAGAAACAAAAAAATAAAGTAATAAAATGCGTAAAATCTTCATCATGTCGTGGTGTGACTCCACAAAAACTAAATATCTATTATTAAATATTATATATATATATATATATATATAATTCAATATATATATATATATATATATGTAAAAAATGTACCTTTTAAAAATATTTTGAACATAATTATTAATATATGTACAATCACATGTATCCAAAGTATGAAGTTTTTCAAAACCATAAATGCAAAATATATGCATGTATTAGCATTTATTAGCACATTAAGTGTATTATTATTTGTAGCGCTTCAGATTCCAGTTCTAAATTTTTACTCTGTTTTCCACAGCCAAGCCTCTTCACCATCATGGACGGGAGTGTTTGAGACTGAAGGTGGATGTAGTTGGACCTCACGGTAAGTCAAATCAGTTTTTGCATTTTAAACATGGCATTTCTGTCTAGACATTTAATCTTTCCTGAATTACAAGGACAATGAAGCCTTACTAAGAGTCCAACTATTTCATTTAATTTTCTAGGGTCTAAAAACAAGAAGAAGACCATGGAAAAACATGAGGAATTAGAAGAGAAGATGGCTGCTGGTGGAGTCCATAACCCATCAAACAGGCTTCCAGCAGGTGAGCACTTCTCATCTGTCACTCTTCTCCTCACTTCTGGCAGCATGTCCATTTGCTTTAGAAAAGATGTAGAATTTTTAGACTTTGTAAGCCAAGGTGTTAGAGTGGCATTACGCAAGTTACATAGTCGTGAAATGTACTCATGATCCTCCTCTTCTGCTTTCAGATGACCCTATTGCCATGATCCCAGTTGTACAGAGGAGCGTGGGCAGTTCGGGTGTTCGCATTGCTCCCGTCTCAAGTTTCGTCACGTTGATCTCTATATTCCTCTTCCTGCTTCTCCACTGAGCCTAATATAAGAAGACTTTATGGACGCTGGTCCTTTAAGACACAACAGACTGTAATGCCGGTGCTGGTTACCGGCTTTGAAAATAGATTTTATACGAAGAATTTTTATACAAACTGAAATTTTGGTGCTGGCGTGCAAGTTGCTGAGTGACATGTTTGTATTTGTGTTTGTGAGAGTGATGTGACCAGAGAAAGGTGTTTTTGAAGAACCTTCTCTCTTTTTTTGAAGAGTATTTACCGTTCTATGATTCTTTTCCCCATCAGCTCTTTTTCTTTTTCTTTTGTAGATTGAATGTGTTCGTTCGTTCTTAAAAATGTATCACAACTTTACCAATGTGATGCAGAATAAACCCTGAAGACTGCAGAGCTTGTCTTGTAACCATCAGCTGTATAACTGGAATTGTGATCACAAGGGTGAACAATAGGCTATAGATATTGTGTTTGATAGAGACCTTTGCTCTACTGTACCGATTTGAGCCAAAGATCACAGGATTTATCTTAAAACTGACCCTGATCTTGCACCTTATAAAGAATTGATGTTCGTGCAAATAACAGTGTTTGTAAATCTAGAACAGTTATCGAGCATTGGTGTTCCCTGTGTTTTGGATCTCGTGTTGCTCTAGTTTCAGTTGGTTTTTGTGATGTATTGTGAACACACCCTACAAAATGTACTGGCACTAATGTATAGATGAGATCAGATTTTTTTTATTTATTTTTTTTTTATAAAACAACATTTGGTTTTGAGTAGGAATGTTTGGTTGTGCTGTTTGTGTTTGTGAGCGAGAGAGAGAGAAGCCGGACTTCTGACAGAGAGCACAACATGCATGAACAATTCAAACGGTTGAATAATTTTTCTCAAATAAGTTAAAAGAACATTTTTTTTGTAAAATGCTGTGTTTTGTACTGTATTTGTTTATAAACTTGTAAATAGTTATGTAAAAATGTATATACTGAGAGGTATATAAAATAAAGACATTTGTTAATTATAAAAATGTGTGGAACGTTTTTTTCTTATTATTAAAAAAAGTTTTATTTGATTCAAATTCAAAGAAAAAAAAGACATGTTTTTTTTTTTTAAGTATTTTGGTTTTAGGGCAAGACAGATTTTCTGAAATTTGTTGAGGCCTCAGTGTAAAGTTAAACACTTCAAAGCACTGTTAATGCTCTCACTGTCAAACTTTCTTCCTGTCCTCTTTCATTCCCTTTTCATCTCTTTTTCCTGGCCAGGACTTCACAGCTTTTAGTAAAATGACACTTGGGTGCCAGAACGTAACTTACTCATTTCCCTTGGCCTCAGTTTTTTCTTTGACATTTGAGAACATTAAACACAAGATATGTCTTCTGTATTTAACCACGTCAATGGAAAATACATCATTTTGTTTGAAAGTATGAAGCAGAATATTTGCAGCAATATGCAGTGAATTAAAAAAATTCTAGAAGATGTTCACATGGACTGGCTATATGGGGGTTTCTCAGCTATGGCTATTTTTGGCACCTGGATTTTTAGAAAACTTTTTTATTAATTATGGGAGACATTTGTCATCCTTAGAATAAAATAACTGACTCCTTTGTCTTGCTAAAGATATTTTCATAGCTAGCATTTTCTGTATCCTCAACATAATATTTTCATTTTTGGAAAATTTGTCAATTACATTTTGTACATGTTGTACTATAAACATTTTGAATAACGATTTTTTTTCCCCCTTTGTTTTCTCAAATTGATGACGCTTTGTCCCGTTTCAAATCAAGCATGCACTTCAGTACATGAACATTTGACAAAATTACAACTTCAAAAAAGGCACTTGTATTATGAATCATGATACTGAAATGTATTTATTTGTTTAGATCACTTTGTTTAGGTAGGTCAATCATATTAAAGCAATAATTCTATCATTTCTATAACAATAAATTATAAAATGCTCAGGGAGTGCAAAAAATAAATGATAGTAATGTAGTAATTATGGTAATGTTTCTAAGACAGCATTAATACAGTTACAGTGGTGTGAAAAGGTGTTGGCCCCCTTCCTGATTTCTTATTTTTTTGCATGTTTGTCACGCTTTAATGTTTCAGATCATCAAACAAATTTAAATATTAGGCAAAGATAACAAGTGAACACAACATGCAGTTTTTAAATGAAGGTTTTTATTATTAAGGGAAATTCACTTGTGTTATCTTTTCCTAATATTTAAATTTGTTTGATCTGAAACATTAAAGTGTGACAAACATGCAAAGAAATCAGGAAGGGGGCCAACACTTTTTCACACCACTGTATATGAGAGAGAAAACAGTTTAAATCTTTTGGGTTTAATATCAACCACAGATTCACTAAACCAGCTGCAAAGTGCAAATATTCAGTGTGGTTAAAACACTTTTCCTGATGCATATTGTTCATAACAAAAATCATGAGTGCTTAAACGGCTTAAACTCATCTTTGGGCCACCTTTCACCTAAAGCTTGTACACTACAAGTTATACTTTTAAAAACACATCTCACTATACAAACAAATTCCAGTAGACAAACTGTGCTACAAAATCTCTCTATATTCAAAGGAATATCCTTGGAAAACATCGTAAAATTACTCCATTTAAGTCACCCACACCTCTTATTTCACTACAACACGGACTACAAAATGACGTCAGTGAGCAGCGTTCGGCGATAACCAATCAGAGTGAAGGAATCGATCCACACTGAATACAAACACGGAAATTGAGAAGGTGGACGTCAGCGTTCCACGGGTGCCGGATTCACTGGATTTATCAACATAATTTGATTCGCTTGATTGCACAGGTGTCTGCCTAAAAGCACAGCTCATTTTTCGCTTTTTCAGTCTATGGATTTTCTGCAGCTGCTATCATGCGCGTGCATCATATTCACCGTGGGGATGTTCACGACGGGATTGTAAGTTACTTACATGTGTTCTTATATATACTGATGAGCAATAATATCAGTTATAATGTAGCTGAGCTAAACCGTGCACACTTATGGGTTTTAATAATCTTCGCATCTGGTGACATCTCGCGCCTTTCTTGAGTTTACTGTTTAGTATGTAAATGAATTAAAATGCTTTAAATAAACAAAGTTCTCTATTAAACTGTTATTTATCAACTGTAGTGGTTACACATATGTTGTTGCGCCTAATAGAAACTGCCTTCACTCAAACTTAATAAACAGCCTCCTTACAGCAATATACCATGGTAACAAGTTTCCGCCATCATACTGTTACTACTGATATTAGCCAACGCTGTCATCAAGAAGATTGCACATTATTAAGATTTTAGAGTATTAGCAATTATGGTATTTGCCTGAAACCATAGTACAGCGTTAACCGCTATATTCTGTATGTGTATGTAGGTTGATCATATTTGGAGGCTGTGCAGAACGTCTGAAGCAAATGAATTTCACTATCAGTATGAATTTACAGTGCAAAATATAAAGCATATGATATGCATAGCTTACTGTATCTATGCTTATCTTCCAAGATAATATTCCTATAATTGCATGTCATCTCTGTTTTTTTTGTATGTTTACTGGGTGTCTAAATTTCCCTCTGGGATCGATAAACTATTCATCATCTTCATCATAATCATCATATTCCTCTAATTGCATGTCCTCTCTGCATTTGCAGGACCGACTTGAAGAAAATGAAGACCACACAGAGTGCAGATAACGTTCAGTTTCTGCCCTTCCTCACCACATGCTTGAAGTATGTGTTTGGTATTTGACACCTGTAGCTCATTCAGTAATGTTGGATATGTGAATGCAACTTAATTTGTGAATTGTACATAGATTTCAGTTGATCTGAATGATCCTGTTTCTCTGTGTGTGTTTTAGTAATCTAGGTTGGCTGTACTATGGATTATTAAAGGGAGATGGAACGGTGATATCTGTAAACATCATTGGGGGCTTTTTACAGACCTTATACATCATCACTTACTGTCATTATACCAAAGACAAGGTTTGTCATTTAGCGCTGTCCACTTCTTGAACTCTTATTAATTATAAAGTGGGGTCCACCAAAGTCTGAGACCAGACTTTAAAATATGTAGTATTTTAATATTAAATATTAATGTAACATTTTAATTACAAATTGTTATCAGTATAACAGTTTGATTGAAAAGTTGAAGTGAAAAATTAATGCACTCATTTTTGTATTTATTATTACATTACCAGGATAACAGTTAGAATGAAAATTTAATTTAGTTAGTTAAACATATGAATATCAAGTTCTATTATCAGGATGATAATTTGTGTGAAATTTAATTTATAAATTAATAATATATTTTAAATGACAATTTACATGATCAGCATAACAATTTGAGTGAAAATTTTAAGTTGAAAGTTAGTTCAGTCATTTTGATTACGTTATATTATTAGTATACTAGTTTGAGTGAAAAGTTGAATTTAAAAGTTTATTCAAAAGTTATATTTTTAGAATGCCAAAACAAAAGTTTAAAATTTAATTGAAAAACTAATACAATATTTTACGTTATGTTATCAGTTATATTAACAAGTTGAGTGAAAAGTTTAATTGAAAAAATAACATGATATTTCTTTATAGATTAGATGCAGGTTTAAGTCAAATTTGATCCCATATTTTTTTAATGTTCACTCAGACATTTGAACCCCACTGTATATACAACAAATAAAAAGTTCTGAAACGAGTTGTAAGAGTGATCAAATGTGCAAAATAAATTGAAACATTACTGACATATAACGTGTGTGTGTGTTTCAGAGGCGAGTGTTCTCGCAGACGCTGACGATGGTGAGTGTGTTGTGTGTAGGCTGGGTTTATTTTACTGTGATGATTCCTCCTGGAGAAGCTCAACTCTCTCAGCTGGGCCTCACCTGCAGTGTGTTCACCATCAGTATGTACCTCTCTCCACTCACTGATCTCGTGAGTACACGGCATTAATCCTGTTTAAATACACAGTCAACAGTTCCTGCACACATTTACTGAGAATTACACTGCAGTAAAGCACATGAACATGGAAAGAACATATTGCAAACGCACCACCAGCTTGTATCAGCCCTGCTACTTATCTACTTTATAGAGTATGTAAGTTTTTACTTCTCACCTGCACTATGTTAGAAAAAAAGCAGTTATGCATATTTAATTGCGTGCATTTACATGTTAATTATGTTTTAAAAAATTGTAGGTCAGGGCTCATTTATATAGAACTTTGATAACAACACAAGTGCTGACCGAAGTGCTGCACATCAGATAAATAAAACAATATGATAAAAAGAACGATGAATTAGCCTTAGACAAAAAAATAAAAATGACATGAAATGCACCACATAATAGAACAAAATAGAACATAATAGAATTTAAATATATCCAATTGCATACATGCGTGTTATTAATATGGGACTTTTAAAACTGTGCTGACCAAAGTGCTGCACATCAAATGTAATACAAAATAAAACAATATAATAAAATGATAACAATGAATAAGCCTGATTGAAAAAAAAAAATAGGCTAAAGGCGGCGGAAAAAATATAAATGACAGGAATTACACCACATTTAAATTAAACTTACAATTGCATGCATCAACATGTTAACCATGTTTAAAAAAAAAAAACTATCAAAAAATCACATACAAAAAATTCTCTCTCTCTCCCATATTTATCAGTCCAGCTCTGTCTACCTGTCCTGTGCCCTGTGGTGTATTTCCTGTCATTCTTGTCCCTTTTGTTGCTTCCTGTTTTTGCCGCCGTCACTTTCTGCAAGTGTCAATATCTGTTTGTTATGGGAGAGACTCTGCGTGAGTGTAAATAACGTGGTTGGAGCTGTGATGCAGTAGCGAGAACATGTGCTTCAGATTTGCTGATCCTTGGTGTTTAAGTGGAAGACAGGTTTGACACCACATTTAAATTAAACTTACAATTGCATGCATCAACATGTTAACCATGTTTTAAAAAAAAAAGATCAAAAAATCACATACAAAAAATTCTCTCTCTCTCCCATATTTATCAGTCCAGCTCTGTCTACCTGTCCTGTGCCCTGTGGTGTATTTCCTGTCATTCTTGTCCCTTTTGTTGCTTCCTGTTTTTGCCGCCGTCACTTTCTGCAAGTGTCAATATCTGTTTGTTATGGGAGAGACTCTGCGTGAGTGTAAATAACGTGGTTGGAGCTGTGATGCAGTAGCGAGAACATGTGCTTCAGATTTGCTGATCCTTGGTGTTTAAGTGGAAGACAGGTTTGAAGCTTGCCTGCGTAATTTTTCAATCCCCTTTCCTCCCAACATTTCCTGTCTCCTCTGTATTTATTATATATATATTTTTTATAATACCGGTAATAAATGGTAGCAAAAGCATCATTCTCCTCTCAAAAAAAACATGTGTTCTTCATTTCCACCAGTTGGATATTGTGCGAAATAAGTCTGTGGAGCGCTTGTCTTTTTCCTTGACCGTCGCTACATTTTTCACATCCACGTCATGGACGCTGTATGGCCTTCAACTGCGTGACTATTATATAATGGTAAGATGATGAAGAGACTGACCTGAGCGAAGTGAATCAGAAAGTGTCATTTATTTTTTATTTTATTATTATTATTTTTTTTTTTTTTTTTCAGGTGCCCAACACCCCTGGCATCTTTACTAGCCTCATCCGCTTCTTCCTCTTCTGGTGGTTCGGAGCTGTCATTCCAAACAAGCCCTCCTATAAACTGATCCAAATCTGAGAGAGGATTTCGATTGAATGTGATTGAATCTAATTCTACTTTCCTTTACCCAAGCCAGAAGAGATTCTGGTTTCCTTCACATCAGACTTAGTCTATTTAGTCAAAAGGATAGTTAAATCATGTCACCATTTACTCATGTTGTTCCAAATCTGTGTGACTTACTTTTGTGGAACAGTCAATGGTAAACAAAACTGTTTGGCTGCCAACATTTTTCAAAAGATCTTCTTTTTTGTTTTCCACAGAAGACAAAAAGTCATACAAGTTTTGGAATGACATGAGGATGAGTTAAATGATGACAGAATTTAAATTTTTTTTGAAAAGCAATCCCTTTAAATGGTGTTTCCTCAAAAAATACAAATTGTGAATTTACTCACAATCATATTATTCCAAACCTGTATGGCATGTTTTCTGCTTACAAAAGAAGACATTTTAAATAGATGTTCTGCTCCCCCCCTCATGTACTATGTTCAGAGTTTTCTGAAGCCGTAAGTTAAGTTTTGTGTGACGAACACTATATTTTATTAACTGAAAATCTTGATCTTCGCTCTTCTTGGCACCAGTTTAATGAACGGATTGCTCTTTTAAATGATCCATTTAATGAATCTCTTGATTCAACTGAATGATTCAAACTCAAATATGACTGATCCGGTATTTGAACTCACTGGAGGGGAAGATTATTAGCTTAAAAACACACATGTGACAAACATGTCTTTAATATTTATTTTATGATACTGTTGTGTCTTAAAAGTTTCTGTACCCTTTTTTGTAATTGGATGGAAAAGAATCTACTCATAATGTCTTTGTGTTTCCTGGAAGTCATACAGGTTTGGAATGGCGTAAGTATGAGTAAATAATGACAGTACCTTAATTTCTGGTGAATTTTAAGTTCTTTGAGTGACCGAATATTTTCACTTTGTCTTTTTTGGTTAATCCTTGAGTGGATGAGGATGCTCTCAATTGGTTTGCAGGTATTTCTTCGTTAAAAGGTGTTCAAATCTGCAAACAAAACAAACTCCAAACTGAGAGCTTAAAACTATTTCTTATTTCAGCCATTTCTCTGAAAGTGATGTGTATAATATGTACAGGTGCATCTCAATAAATTAGAATGTCTGGGAAAAGTTAATTTATTTCAGTAATTAAACTCAAAAATTGTGAAACTCGTGTATTAAATAAATTCAACGCACACAGACTGAAGTAGTTTAAGTCTTTGGTGTTGAGATGCACCTGTGTGTATATATATATATATATATAATCTTGGTTCCATACAGTTCAGAGTGGCCTTTAGGAAAATGTCACGTTCTATTACTTAAATAATGAATGTAGTGATCATTAATCATAGGCTACTTTATTATAACATCATTCTTAATTGTGTCCATATGGCAGTTTGGCAGCTATTTAATCAGCATCCAGCTCAAGTGACAAAGCCCAAAAATACATTTTATAAGTGTAAAACCTTCCTTTCTGCGGAAGAGAACATAGCACAAACATAGAACATTAGTTTGACTGAATGACATTAAATTAAGAATATCTGTCTCTGAGATGACAGAAAATAGGAAATCTTGGTATGCCTGTTTACAGTTCTTGTTTTGTAGCTGGAACAATTTTTAATTTTTTTTATCCCTCAGTACTGTCACTGTCAGAGCATCATTCTTTACAATGAGCCTATAAAAACAGTCATTTAAATAAATTGACTTTATCCATTCCCTTCCCTCAGAGAACACCAAAGTCGCACAAAATCTGAAGGTACATTTTATAAGTGTAAAACCTTCCTTTCTGCGGAAGAGAACATAACACAAACATAGAACATTAGTATGACTGAATGACATTAAATTAAGAATATCTGTCTCTGAGATGACAGAAAATAGGAAATCTTGGTATGCCTGTTTACAGTTCTTGTTTTGTAGCTGGAACAATTTTTTATTTTTTTTATCCCTCAGTACTGTCACTGTCAGAGCATCATTCTTTACAATGAGCCTATAAAAACAGTCATTGAAATAAATTGACTTTATCCATTCCCTTCCCTCAGAGAACACCAAAGTCGCACAAAATCTGAAGGCTTTGTTCACAGAGTTACGGTGACAGGCAGGATATAAGGGGAGGAATAATCAGCAAAATCACTTTTATTTAAATGGACATATTCTTAACCCATAAGATGGCCCAATGAAAATCTTAAACCATCATTGGCTGTTAATGTTGTGTTGCATATGCTAAACTGGTTTGATCTTTGACCGACATAAACTTTTATTAGGTCACACTGTACATCATTCGGTACTTTATTCAGTAAAGATTTTCAGAGTCTCCAAGACTGGGCTTTGTGAATTTAATACCATATACCATATCAACTTTGTTTTATTGTTGTATTGTTTAGGGCTTTAATGTTGTAAGTTAATTTTTTTGGCGTTTACATTAAGCTTGAATGTTTTTGTGTTCCTTTGTACTATTTTATATGCAACAGTGTATATTATATCAGAGGGGATTTAGAGGGATGTTCTTTCTGGAGTTTACTGGGGAAAAAATGCCTCAAATAAATTTTATATAACATATAACCTTCAATGTCTGGCTGAGACGGAGAGAAGAAGTTATGAGAGCTTAGAAGGGGAATGTGAGAGGATCAGCGCTGATTGTGAGCAATGAAAACTAAAATACGCTCAAAAGCCAAGGCGTAACGCGTGCTGACAGACATTTTAATTTCTGTGGGAAATAACAGCACATTTATCTCCTGCCATTATGTGTTTCGTCAAATGTTTGTGAGTATGTGTGTGTTTTTTTGCTTGTTTGTAGTTTGTCTTCGTTTATAAGAGTGAGTGGAAACCGTGGGTTTGCCTTTTCTCAGTGCCTATTGGAGTCTTTACATGCTTTTCCTGTCTGCTTCTCAGAGAAAGACATGAACGAGGAAAAGGATTGTGTGTGGTGATTGTTTATCAAGAAAGTGTGTTTCTTAAAGAAAAAAAAATTGTGATTGACAAAACCTCTTGTGAGAGAAACAATGCTGAACATAGCAGAAAAGCATTTTTAAGTTGTTCAGTCATGTTTGTTCAAATGGTTTGAGTGTAAATGGTAAAATGCACATAAACAAACATGCATTAGAAGATCAGTGGTTCTCAACTGGTGGGATGTGACCCAAAATGGCTCAGGTCCATTCTGCTGTGAAAGTCATAGGGTCACAGACAGCAGGAGGGAAAAAATGCAACAAACCATTTAATCATGCACAGTTTCTATCATAAATATAAAAAAAGAATATTGTTTTCTAGTTGAATAAAGCTGTGTGTGTGTGAGAGAGAGAGAGAGAGAGAGGGGGAGTGTATTTAATACTTTTATTCAGCAAGGATGCATTAAAATGATTAAGAGTATTTAATCATTTTACAGTGTCAAAAAATATATATTTTAAATAGATGCTGTTTTTTTTTTAACTTTCTATATTTCAAAGAGTTTTGCGAAAATGTATCTCGGTTTCCTCTGAAATATTAAACATCAGAGATGTTTTCAATATTGATAATTATAAGAAGTTTCTTGAGCACCAAATCAGCATTTTAGAATGATTCAAAAAGAAACTTGTGACATGGAAAAATGGAGTAATGATGCTGAAAATTCAGCTTTGCCTTCACTGGAATAAATTATATTTCCAAGATATATTCAAATAGGAAACAGTTATTATAAATTGTAATAATATTTTTAAATAAATAAATACAGCCTTGATAAGTGGCTTCTTTCAAAAACATTTTAAAAATCTGACCCCATGTTTTTGAATGACTTCAACCTCATGTTGAACCGCATGTCATCCAGTCCACCAGTTAACATCTTGTGAAGTGAACACCTGTGTTTGTAATGCATACGAGTCAATAATCAATAGTAGCACTTCCTCCAGTGAAAAAGTCCATCACCTGTTGTCCCCTCACATCAAAACTCTTTTTTCGCTCTTAAATGCTTGCACCATTCATGAACAGATTGAAATAATGTATTTTCTCATAAAAATGAAAGATAAAGGAGAAGTCGATTTGCAAGAAAAAAACCAACAATGATTTGGTCAGAGACCGTCGTCATTTCGCCATATGAAAAATGATGCCTATATCATGACAAGCTCATCAGGCCAAAACAAGGAAACAATTTTAGTGTAATTACAGTGTAAACCGTCTCTGTTACTCAACAGACAGATAAATAAACAGAGACGGGGGCTGGACGGTCAAGAGTGATGGATGACCATGTGGAGACAGAGAGACTAGACAACATACAATCTACAGTCACACAAGAGTGTGTATGTGTGGCATCCAATGTTTCATCCTTTGTCGTGCAAGATGGGAGCACTTGTGTGAAGGCATCTGGGCAAATGTGTGTACTATGAATCACGACTGATTGATCTCGGACTCTTTGCTCTGTTCTCATCACTAACAGCGCCGCAGCTGTGGTGTGTACGTGTGGGTGTGTATATTAGTGCTTAATCAGCGCAACAATGGGAGTCCACTGCAAAACAGGATACCCCTGTTTCCTGCAGCAGAGACTGTCTCTATACACACACAAATATACACACACCACCTTTAGACTGTCTAGGTTGCTAACTAGTATACATACTCTCAGTGATATTTTCATTGATTCCCTTGATCAATAACTAGTTTTTGTCTACATTGGAAACGTGGTACCGTAGAATTGTCACATTAAAGATCTATTTATACTTGATTTAACCCTTAAAAATACTTTTATTGGTGTAAATGTAGTCAGGTTGATTGTCATTAAATACTATATAATTTTTTTGAAATATTGTATTAAATTTACATTTTATATAAAATTTTTATAACCAGAAATTATTAAAGTCCCAAAAACATTCTTCACAGTTTGATTATGGCAGTGGAAGTCGTCATAATTGGGTGAACTTCCAGTGATTAATGGAAAATTCAAACAAATATATATATATATATATTGTTTGTTTTTTTGGTTTGGTTTTTTTTGCATTCGCATTTGCTCCAATAGCAATACAACAAAAATCAAGAGATTGATTATGGTGGTCAGAAATAAGAAGGAAGATGATAACTTGCTTGTTGTATTCCTCATTTGTAAGTCGCTTTGGATAAACGTGTATGCTAAATTAATGTAAATGTAGATGTCAAGAGATTGATTATGGTGGTCAGAAATAAGAAGGAAGATGATAACTTGCTTGTTGTATTCCTCATTTGTAAGTCGATTTGGATAAACGTGTATGCTAAATTAATGTAAATGTAGATGTCAAATTAACCGTCTCTCCCTCAGCCATTGTGGTCGA